AGCTGTGGCCCCCCTCTTCCCCGCTGCTTCAATCCACTGGACTGAACCCAGAGAAAACCCACAATGCCTAGCTCCAGCCCCCCACCCAAAGTTTGATAGAACACAGGAGTCCTGCCCCAGCCCCCAGCTCTGGCCCTGCTGTTGGGCCAGCCCCAGCCAGAGTCCTCGCTGCCAGGCCGGGCAGGGCCTCTGAACGCAGCCGGGCGCCCCAGAGCGCACGGCCCCGAGAGCCCCCCGGGCTGAGCCCTGTGGAGCAAGAGCAGCCCCTTGGTGTAAACGTGGCCACTGATGGCGGCGCCTCTGCCCCGACCCTGGAAACCTGGTCCAAGGCGCCGCCCCCCAGGCATGAGAAATGGGCCCTGCGCCCCAGTGGGTCTGTGTCCCATGCCACTGGCTCAGGCGTGCCCTTCCCCTGGCCCACGGAGGAGTCCACAGCAAACCTCCCGCCCTCCCCCCGGTAGGGCCTGGCAGCCTGGGCTCCAGCGGCCCCTTGGTCGGCCGCGTGCCGGGAGCTGCAGGCGCCCGTCTCGCCAGGGCAGGTGTCTCGCCCGTTCCTCCTTCTCCTGCTCGTCTCTGAGCCCCCCCAAATCACCAGCAGTCTCTGGAGCGTGGGACGCGGGCCCAGCAGCAGCCGCACCAGCGCCACAGACAGGGAACCAGCTCTCTGGAGCGTCCCGTCTGCAGCCCAGGCGCCCACCAGCCCTTCTGGCCACGGCAGACCCACTGGGAGCCCGTCCACTGACTATTCCACCCCAAGCTCCCAAGACAGACCCCCCCCACACACACACACTCTGGGCTGGGCTAGGGCCCAGAGCTGGGCCTGTACATGCGCCGTGGCCACAGGCACGTTGTGCTGGCTCACCAGGGCTCTGTAGCCCCGTCCTCGGCCCCATTTACAGGGCTGGTGTCTGCAGACGTGTCCAGGGAGGGTTTTACGGTTTTGTTGGGGGCATCGATGAAAACCTGGGACAGTGCAGGGCCCTGAATTGCCCAAAACGCCCCCTCTGGAACCAGATTCCCCCGGGGAGAGCGGCCCGGTAGCCCCTTTTCACCCACCTAGCAGGGGCACGGTGACTCCCGTCCTCGGCCCCATTTACAGGGCTGGTGTCTGCAGACGTGTCCAGGGAGGGTTTTACGGTTTTGTTGGGGGCATCGATGAAAACCTGGGACAGTGCAGGGCCCTGAATTGCCCAAAACGCCCCCTCTGGAACCAGATTCCCCCGGGGAGAGCGGCCCGGTAGCCCCTTTTCACCCACCTAGCAGGGGCACGGTGACTTGGGAGCTTATGCAGCACCGAGCCCCCGGCCTGGCAGAGCAGCCCCTCGCCC